TGGAGCTGGCAGGGTGCGTTCCTAGACAGCTGGTGAAAAACCGGTTGTGCTCTGGCTGCTCGAAGGAGCAGATTCAGGTGACATCTGTGCCTCCTGTTGCAGCGCAATAGTAGAAACACTAAAAGTGAATTACAACATTAATGATAGTGCTCTGCAAGCTGTCGTTCCGTATTACGCATCCATTATTCCTTGCATGGGTACTCAGAGGCATCGTGAAGGAATCGGGGGGGGGGGGGCGGGGCACCGCCACCGCCTCGACAAAATAAAAAAATTAAAATAATATGAAAAACGCCGCCACCTCACTGTGAGAAGGATTGGTTTATGGAGTCACACCTATATGTCGCCACATGGCACGGCGCTGACTGGATGACGGATTCTCTCTCTCTCTCTCCATCACTCACTTTGTCTTTTCAAGCGAGCAACCTCCCACCCCTGACCCCCCTCCTCCTCCTCTTCATCCCTCTTCCTCCTCCCCGCACCGCTATTCCAGACAGCGTTTGTTTGATCTTGCCGCCCTCTACAGCTGAATGAAATCAATCTGGCAGAGATGTCATGTGTGAGGAAAAAATGATTGGCCGCAAAGAATAACGTGTATTTGAGAACATGGAGCCCCGTTGACCTCGCGAAAGCCTGCGAGGGCCGGACGCAAACACACGGCGGCGCGTCACGCAGACATCTCCGAGCTGCCACCCATCCCCAGACTTTCAATAACTTTCAAATCCCCCGAAAACCTGGAAAATAAAGGCAGAGTCGATCACTCATAGCTCCCTTCACTCCGCTCTCCTCTTCAGGGAAATAACAGCCGAAGGAGAAAAACAAAGTCAGGATCCCATCCTCTCCCGCGGAAAAAAAGCACCAGCATCCCCGTGGGGACAAGGGGAGAACACTGCTTTCATCATTCCGGGTAACGCGCAATAAAGAAAAGATTCATTTAAGATGTTGTGACATGAATAGCGCGCAGGTATAAAACAACCGTAAGGGAGGATCAATGGCAATCAAAGGTGGATTTTTAAGAATAAAAAGCGAGATGAGAATGAATGAAAAAAGAAGCTGCAGAGGTGGGTGGTGGTGGTGGGATCACTAACAGCGATACAGCTGTCACGCCAGCCTACACGTTTCTATAGGAGTCTGTGTGTGATTTGGATTCGTTCCATGCCGGATCGAATGGCGGGGCGGCGTCTCTCTCCCGAGAACACAAACACATCGGCGGCAAACTCTGAGCCGCCCGAGTGGCTGTGATTTCTTCATTCCGGCAGAGAGAGAG